GCAGGACGGCAGCGGTGCGTGTCGTGCAAAAGAGAGCACCAACGGGCCTGCATGGGTGTGCATGCATATATACAATGGGCACATTATGTGTGTGCCTCGTGGGGTGAGGTGAGGGCGAGAGTCCATGCAAGGGGACACACACAGAGAGAGAAGGACGAGTGTGTGTACGGGCGGTGCATGGCTCTCTCACACTCACTCTCACGCGGCCACCACCGCAGCAGCCGCCGCACACTCAACAACAACAAGAAGAAGCAAAAGAGGGGAGGTGGTGTGGGAGACCGCGGTGCTGCCGTCACTGTCGCCAGGCGTCGTCGTGTTATTTCTCTTGGTGATGGTGACATTTTCTGTTGAGGTCTCTTCTCCTGTCTGAAGTTCCGTTTCTGTTGGTGGTGGTTCTGCGGATGATGCTCGTGGAGTTGTTTGTGTTACTGGTGGGTTGCTGGTAGTAGAAGATAGGCTTGTAGTAGCTTTCGGTCCGACGTCTCCCTTCTTCTCCTTTTCAACTGCATCCCCACTATCATCTGGACTTTCTGCGACTTCTTCTGAAGTAGAGGAGCCCTGTTTTGCTTTGGATTCTGATCTCTCCTTTGGCTGCTCGTTGGGCAATGCGGTTCCAAGAGAAATTGTTTCCGACCGTAGACCCTTTTCTGAAGGTTGCGTGCTCTGAACAATTGGGGCATCGAGGGCAGAAGATGAAGAAATGCCAGTCGTAGAAAGAGGGGAAACTGAAGAGTCACCTCGAGAACTGTCACTGGGTCGAGTTCCATCAGGTACTGGTGATGGTGGCGGTCTTATTGCTTGGCCCGCCTGTCCTGCACGTTCTGCTGGATTTTCACTGGTCAACATTTTTTCTGCTGGTGTTGGAGATGGGTTCCTTTCGTTTTCTTTTGGGCCATCGCGTTCCTGCGTTCCTTCTGAATGATCTTTTGGTTGCTCTTCCCCATCACTTCATGTTTCTTCATCTTCCGTTTTCTTTGCTTCTACTTTTTATTCTTTTCCTGCCGCCCCACCATTGTTTCTTGGTGTTTGTTTGGCAGATATTTTTTGAGGGCTGACCTTCGTTAATTCTTGGGCATCTGACGGTTCTTCTGAGGTGTTCAACACTCCACCGACTGGATTTCGTATATCCATTTTTTCATGGCCGCCCTTGGATGAAGGCTCTGAAGCCCTCGATGGTTCATCTTGTAGTTCAGTAACATCATCACCCTCCGTCCCCACCGCAGCACCGCACCACAGCACGCAGAGGGCACACACCAGCAGCACACGGCCAGTCATCATCGCCATCACTCCTGTCAGTTGCATGCAGCCTTCAGCACAAACTAACTCCCCGTCAACGCAGAGTGAAAGCAAAAAGGAGAGACACGACCGCTACACCACGCACAGTCACCACACAGTCACAAATGGCAATGCACACACCACGAGGCAGTTGGAATCAGTGCAATTGCAGAACTCACACACCGCCCTGCAAACCAGAAGTTAAAAATGCAGTAAAAAAGAACAACAACAGATTTGAGAGTCCGTTATGACTCCCAAAAAGTAAAAAAAGAAAAATCGATCAGGCACGTCTTTTATTTTATTTGCCAAGCAGCAAAATGTAAAAGAACACTGGTTTGTGTATACGTAATGCCTGGATTGAATAAATCAAACCAAGATCTTGCTGTTCCGTGAGCCCACACAACATCCCTCACACTTCATTGCGGCATCCGGCCTGTTCCTCCAATCCTCCTTTCGTGCAGTCCGTGGGACGCACAGCAATGAGGCCGGCACCGCGTATGGGCAACGGAAGGAAACAAGGGAAGCGCGTCACACATGACAAAGTACAGCAAACGAGCATTGGGGAAAACACAGGGATGCTGATTATTCCAATAGGGCAAAAGCAGCAAAATAAATAAATAAAAGAAAATAAAAAAGCTTAAATTATTGACAAAACTCAGTGGGTAATGCTGGCAAGCTGCACAGTTATTGTTCCAAAAAAAGCCGCAGTTCCACCCTCCCTCACACCTCAGCAGAGTGCCACAGTACCCCACAGCCCCAGAAGCAGAAGCAACATCACCCGAGACAGACACCCATGCACGGTGCTGTCACCAATTTCAGCCATGGCCAACAAATCCGTGAAATGCTCGTGCTCACAAAAAATGTTGCTCACAATTGATGCTGCGTCGTGCTCCGATGGGATCTTGGTTTTCCCAGGCGCTGTGCGCAAATAATCCTGTGCGGCATCACCGCCACCCGACACGTTATCACTCGTTCAACATTTGCTAGGGCTGTGCTGGGTTCAGGCGTGGCTGTTGTACCATCCAATGGCATTAGATCACTGTTGCTGAGTGAATCGGGTTCGCTGTCCGTGGTCACGGCAGTGCGGGCAGACGTGTCCTATTCATGCTCAACGTCTTGTTAGTCGCTGGCAACTGTGTTGGCGGTGGACGGCTCGTCGTCTCTCGCTGAGCATGAATAGGATCCGCTGCGCTGCTACTTGACTCCCCGGACGGCGGAGCTCCCTGTGGGCCTCACCGCGCAGCTGCCGGCAGCTTCGTATGCACCTGCCGAGCGGAGTGTCCTGCCACTGAGCATGGCCACAGACAGTTCCCAGTTCCCCGCATGGCAGCAGCATCCCAATCGCCCACACGAGTTCCTGTCGCCACAGACTCCCTTCGGCGATGGATGCGCTCAGCCTTGGCTCGCTGGCGGTGCACGGCGACATCACCGGGGAGATTTGTACCGTGCCGCTTTCACTGGTGGATCGAGGTCACACAGTTGGTTTCAAATGTTCACCATGACACTGCGGAATCCCACGCAATGAGGCTGCTGACAAACAAGCCACGATGGCACGATCCCTCCCGCAGGAGGACAGCCCAATCTGGCACGTGGACTTTTTTACTGCAGTCGGGTGCCCGTACTGGAGGGATGCCCAGAAGAAAAAGAAGGGCGCGTGCACCGCATGAGAGGCGCTTGTCGGTGTGGCAGGGACTCTATTCCTGGCACGGCCCGGACATCGTGCCCCGAGCGGCGGCTCTGCGCACAGGCACGGTGCGACTCCCGCCCACTCCTCGACATGCCTGCGCGTGCCCTGCGGATCACAAGGAACCCTCTGTGTCGGTGGTGCCGTTCCTCCCTCACTGCGGTGACCGGCCCGCCGCTGCCTCCGCCGGCTCCTCTTCCCGACGTGAGCACCGCAACTCCTTGTCGACAAGCGAGCGGCGGATTGATGTCCTCCTGCCCAACCTGCGGCAGAGTACGCTCGTCCGTCCACAGTATGAGTGCGCATGCCCGACGTGCTCAGCCTGGCGTTCCGATAGTTTGACAGGCCTCACATGCGGATGCCACAATGGTGCCAGCGTCTTCCTAACGGGTGCCTCGCGCACAGGTCGCCACAGAAAGTGCCAAGCACGCCGGCAGGTAAGACACGCAGGAAGCACAAGCGCGGGCACTCGAGATGGACCATGTCCTTACGCCACCGCCTCATCACAGACGCCACGGGCTGCTGATCCCACGACGGACCGCTCTCGACGTATGTGCATGCGGTGGAGCCTTGTGTGCCGCTCCTGTTTGCTTCTCCCTCTTCCATCTGTGTGTTGGTGTTGCGGCATGGCTGTATGTGTGTGTGTGCCTGCTGCCGTGGATTGGAGTGTGTGTCGTGCGTGGTGTGCGGCGTACGGTGCATGCCTGGCTGCTGCCCTCTCCTCATGTGGTGTGCCCTCTGTGTGTGTCTGCCGCACCTCTCGTCTCCCCTGTTGCTCTCCATGTCCCTCACTGTGCAGATCAGCTCCACACCACTGAACGACCACACTCACGATGATGATGTGCCGTCTGCTGTGCGCCCTGTTGGTGCTTGCCCTGTGCTGCTGACCGTATGTGTGCGCGGCAGGGAGTGAGATAAAACTGAAAAAGCTGCAGAAACTCCAACGCCCCAGGATTCAGTGGTTTCAAACGATTCCGACAATACACGAGCAAGAGGCACAAAACTTAATGGACAGACTTCAGATAAGGAGGCCGATTCGTCAGAAAGACCATCGAAGAAAGTCTCTACTGCAGCAACTCCATCTCCGACAGGTACAGGAGAAGAAGGACCAAGTAGGGTACCCACTTTGCAAGATGAAAGAGATGCGTCTGGTCAGCAAGGGGCATCAGAAGGGAATAAACATTCACCAGGATCAACAGGTGATTCCGATATGTCAGATGTAAATCGGGAGGATAATAAAGAAGTGGCGCTAGCCGGTAAAGAGGTTAAGGAACAGGCACCAACCACGAAAACCACAACGACCACAACTACAACAACGAACACCACCACTGCGCCAAAGGCACCAAGTGATACGGCCATGAATGCAGAGGCGCCAACCACAACGACGACCGCCCGCGCACCGTCACGTCTTCGCGAAATTGACGACAGCCTCAGCAGCTCTGTGTGGGTGTGTGCCCCGCTGCTGCTCGCCGCATCCGCGCTGGCGTACACCACTCTGGGCTGAAGAGGTGTGTGCGGGCTGTGCGTGCCAGCACTCGGCCACGGGGATTTGTGTACGTCTACTGTGGTCCGATGTATAAAGTAAGAGAAAATAATGATTTTGCTTTGCTTTATTTGCTTCTGCTGCTGTGCTGTGTGCTCCATGTTGTTCCCTGCATCCGTCACGTTGAACGCATCCCAGACAAACTCGAATGTGCTACACGCTTACAACTGATTGCGTTGACGCATGTTTGTGTGCTATTGCGTGCATGCGCGCTGGAGTCACTCGGGTGCATGTTTTGTTTTTTTGTGTTTTTACTATTTTACTTTATTGCTGCTTGTTTTCTTTTCTTTTGTTTCTTTCTTGTTTTGTGTGTTTTTCTTGCTGTTAAATTATTGCATGACGTTGTGCGTCTTTTTTACTTTCACTGGCTCAATATTTTTTGTGAAACGCATGCTGCTGCTGGTGGTGTTTTTTACTCTACTGTCTCTCTTCTTACTTCTGCTCTGCGTTGACGTGTTGTTAGTTTGTGCTGAAGGCTACACGCAAGTGACAGGAGTGATGGCGATGATGATGACTGGCCGTGTGCTGCTGGTGTGTGCCCTCTGCGTGCTGTGGTGCGGTGCTGTTTTTGGACGTGCTAAAGCAACTCCAGCTTCTCCGCCCAGTAAAGACAACAGTCCTAAAAATAACAACAATTCCACAGGTGTCGCTGCAGGAGTTGACCCAAACGGTCAACAGAAAGCGCCTCAAGAAAAATCACCGGCGTCAGAATCACCGGAATCGCCAGCAGAAGCGACACCGGCACCACAATCCGGAGGAGGTGCACCAGATTCGGCAAATACAACGACGGACAGCAAGGATCCAAATACACAAGAAAAAATGGAGGAAAAAGAAGAGAAGGAGAAAAACGAAGAAACTGAAGAAAACGAAGACGAAGAGGAAGGGGAAGAGGAAGAGGAACAGGATGATAGAAAGCAAGACGGAGGGGATGATAAGAAAGAAAAGGAGCAGGGGACAATGAAAGAAGAAGCTGATACCGGCACCACAGAGGAGACCTCAGCAGGCGGTCAAGAGCAGCCAATTTTATCTTCGGGTGCGGCAAGAGCATCGAATATAACAAAACCCAACAGCACACAAACAACTGGAGACGATGATTCAGCAGCTGATGTTGCAGGGACAGCAGAGGGAAAACAAAATGAAAATAAAGAAGCCATTCCGAAAGAAACACCAGTGACGGTCACAGCCATGAAAAATACAACGGCGACGACTGGCGACAGTGACGGCAGCACCGCGGTCTCCCACACCACCTCCCCTCTTTTGCTTCTTCTTGTTGTTGCGTGTGCTGCTGCTGCTGCGGTGGTGGCCGCGTGAGAGTGAGGGAGAGAGAGCCGTGCACCGCCCGCACACACACTCGTTCTTCTCTCTGTGTGTGTGTGTCCCCTTGCATGGACTCTCGCCCTCACCTCACCCCACGAAGCACACACAATAATGTGCCCATTGTATATATGCATGCACACCCATGCAGGCCCGTTGGTGCTCTCTTTTGCACGACACGCACCGCTGCCGTCCTGCCTGGCTGCATGGGCGGAGCACCGTAACTGTTTCTGTTTTGTTTTTATTGCATTGAGTGGGCGACCTCTCTCTCTCTCCCTCTGTGTGTGTGTTTTGCTTTACGGGAGGAATGAGAGTGTGTGTGCGCTGGTCGTCCCACGCTTCGGCTTTTTGCCTTTGTTTTCCTTTTTGTTTTGTGGTTGAGAGTCCCCATTCCGCGGCTGCGTGTGTGTGTGTGTGATGATATGAGTAATTTGCGTGTGTGCTGTCTGCCTCTCTCTGCCGTTGCTTTCTTCAGACTCTCTTGTGGCGCACAGCTGCTCCGCAAGTATAGGCGCTGCCAAACACACAAGCACATGCACACACACATGCCGTGTTTAAAACGCTGAGAATGCACGCACGCACAGGATTGTGGCTGCGGAGGCCCTCGCGAGGGGGGAAAAAGCCTGCATTTTGTTTTTTTTTTTGACATGTTGCTCGGTGTGTGCTGACGCGTGACGAATAACAACACGCCCCAATAAGCAGAAAAGAAGTAAAACAAAATGGCGCTGAGCGGCACACCGGTAAGCCAAAAATACGCAATCACCAATAAAAAAGCCGGCGATCACCCAGCAGGCACATCAAGCCTCCTAAAAACCAACCTGAAACAGACAAAAAAAGAGACAATCATAGAAAACAAAGATCCCCGCCCCCAAACAGGAAAAACATTAAAGAAAACGCGATTCTTTTTTTTGTCCTTACTGCCGGGGTTGGCCGCTGCAAGAAATGAAAAATGGTAGGGCGGTGGCCCCGGACGTTGGATACAGGACGACGTGTCGAATTATCCAAGTTGCAGCGGTGGCCCCGGACGTTAGATACAGGACGACTTATCGTAGTAACCACGCTGCGGCGGCGCACCCTAAACATGTCGTTTTCGTTTTCCAGGGGACAACGCAAATGTGCTCGATTGTTCGAAGATCGAAATTAATACTTTACGTGAAAAGGGGTCGCGCGACCGCATTTTTATAGCTCAGTGGCAAACACGCTCACAATGTCATCCGGGGACGCGGGTTCGATTCCCGCAGAAGCATAAGTTTTTTCCTTTTTTTTTTTTGAATTCTTGTTTCATATTGCTTTTTAAACTTCTGGTTTGCAGGACGGTGTGCGAGTTCTGCAATCGCACTGATTCCATCTGTTTCGTGGTTTGTGCGGCTGCGGCTGCGGTGGTGACCGCGTGAGAGTGAGTGTGAGAGAGCCATGCACCGCCCGCACACACACTCTTCCTTCTCTCACTCTGTGTGTGTGTCCCCTTGCATGGACTCTCGCCCTCACCTCACCCCACGAGGCACACACATAATGTGCCCATTGTATATATGCATGCACACCCATGCAGGCCCGTTGGTGCTCTCTTTTGCACGACACGCACCGCTGCCGTCCTGCCTGGCTGCATGGGCGGAGCACCGTAACCGTTTCTGTTTTGTTTTTATTGCATTGAGTGGGCGACCTCTCTCTCTCTCCCTCTGTGTGTGTGTTTTGCTTTACGGGAGCAATGAGTGTGTGCGCTGGTCGTCCCACGCTTCGGCTTTTTGTTTTGTTTTTCTTTTTGATTTTGTGGTTGAGTGCACCCATTCCGCGGCTGCGTGTGTGTGTGTGTGATGATATGAGTAATTTGCGTGTGTGCTATCTGCCTCTCTCTGCCGTTGCTTTCTTCAGACTCTCTTGTGGCGCACAGCTGCTCTGCAGGTATAGGCGCTGCCAAACACATTCACATACACACACCGTGTTGCACATGCCGTGGAGCGGCGTGAGCGCTGAGGACGCACGCACACGATTTTTCTGTGGCCCTTGTGAGGAGGGATGACGGACACCGAAATTTGTTTCGTTTCCGTGCTAAGGGCATGATTTTCTTGGCGTGCTGCCCGTGGGCGGCGCGGCATTGAGGGTGCCTGGGAGGAGTGCCGATTCACACCCGGCAGCTGCACGTGCCGACGTGTTTCTCCCGCTGTTCGTACAGCGACGGATTCTACGGCTGTGTGGGGCGATGTGCGATGGATGGTGCGGGGACAGACAACAGTAAAACGACTGGCGGCAGTGTGTGTGGGCGTTGCTCCGCGTGGCGGAAGCGTGGCGTGATACCCGCTGTGGCTTTTACTGCTGATGGCAGTCGCTGTGTGTTCCCGGTGCACTGTTCTTCCTTCTCATTCCGTGTGTCTGTGTGCGTGAGTTGTTGTTGTTGGGAGTGACTGCGGTGCGGATGATGGTGCCACCTACTGTGGATGGATGGCGGTGTTCACTGTTTCACTCCTTTTCCTCTTCTCTCTCTTTTCCACACAAGAAGGAAAGGAAGTAAGGCTAAACTCTAATCGCTACTGTGAAATTTGAAGGCACTGAAAGGACCAACAGCACACACACCGTCCACACACATATTTGTATGCTCTCACGTGCTGCTGCAGTGAAGGCACCCCGCACACACAACCGTCGCGGCGTGACCGGATCGAGCGGGAGGAGGAGGGAAGGAGGAGAGAGTGAGCCGCAGAGGCCCAACATGTCCCGGCATCCCTTCTACTCTACACTGCTGCTTCTCCTCCTCGTCGTGATGATGTGCTGTAACACTGTTGAGGCTCAGCAAACCAGTGAGGAGAAGTCGCCAGCACCGATACCTTCACCAAAGACATATTTTGTTTGGAGAGATGTGAAGAATGATAAAGAAACAGTGATTTCTCTCCGTGTTCCCAGTCTTGTTGGGATGAATGGTGATGTGTTTGCCGTTGCTGAGGCGCAGTGCAAAGGAAAGAATGAGAATGAAGAATATTTCGCTGGGATTGCCTCGGAGCTCCTGACGTTGTCTGATGAACAAGCAAAAGTGGAGTTGGACAAAACTAAACTGAAGACACAAGTACTGTTGGAATGTACTGCCGATAAAGAGAAATGTGCCTCCCAAAACGCTGCTCTGGAAGGTGCTTCCGCAGACTCAAAGAAGAAAGTACATGTGAGCCGACCAACAACAGTTGTGAAGGAAAACGAAATTTACATGCTTGTTGGGAAATGCAGCCAGACAGCTGCCGTTGGTGCTCAGAAGAATGATGCCGAGGACTGCGGACTTTTGCTGGCGAAGGGGAATTTCAGTGGTGACAGCAGTAACAAAAGAATTTATTGGAATGGGATTGACGATCTCCAGAGCACTTATAACATCCAGCAAGAGGCCTTGACAGCACTGCTTGGCGGCGGTGGATCGGGTGTTCACACGGAGGACGGTACGCTTGTGTTCCCCGTGGAAGGCACAAAGAAGGAGGATAAAAAGACCGTTTCACTGATCATACACAACTCGAAGGATACTAAGAATTGGAAGCTGTCGAAGGAGGTTCCTGACGGTGGCTGCGGTGATCCCTCCGTCGTTGAGTGGGGAGAGAAGGAGGACAAAAAACTCATCATGATGACTGCGTGTGATGGCCGCCGCAGGGTATATGAGTCCGGTGACAAGGGGGATTCGTGGACTGAGGCGCTCGGGACACTCTCGCGTGTGTGGGGCAACAAACAGGACGAAGGAGCGAAGGCCGTTAGAAGCGGGTTCACCACAGCGACGATTGACGGTGATGATAATAACAGAAATGTGATGCTCGTCACTCTGCCGGTGTATTCCGAGGAGGCTGTTACAGGGGGCAATGGAAAGGGAAAACTCCATCTTTGGCTGACGGACAACACGCACATTGTTGATATTGGGCCGGTATCCGATGATGACGCTGCCGCCAGCTCCCTGCTGTACAAAAGTGGTAAAAGTGGTGATAATAAGGAGGAGGAGAAGTTTATTGCACTGTACGAGAAGGACGATGGGAAACAATCACACAGTCTTTGGTTTGTGCCTCTGACTGCGCAGCTACAGCGTGTGAAGGATGTGCTGACGACGTGGAAGAAAGTGGACGACCTTGTCTCCAACCTGTGCCCCTCAAGTGCTGCAGAGAGTGGCTCAACTGGCGCTGCTCGCAGAGATTTTAAGGTGACGGATGGGCTGGTTGGCTTTTTGTCCGGCAACTTCTCTAATAGCACATGGAGGGACGAGTACCTCGGGGTGAACGCCACGGTAAATAATAATGAAGGGGCTGCGAAGGCAACATTGCATGCCGGCGGAGTGACGTTCAAAGGAGCGTGGGCGGAGTGGCCTGTTGGCAGTCAGGGGGATAATCAACTGTACCACTTTGCGAACTACAAATTCACTCTTGTGGCGACGGTGTCCATTGACAAGGTGCCGGAGGGAGATACCCCCATTCCTTTGATGGGTGTGCAGATGAATGACAGCGGGAAGACTGTACTCCTGGGACTGTCGTACAACAAAGAAAAGAAGTGGCAGGTGCTGTGTAGTGGCGGGCCGATCAAGGAACACAGCAGCACTTTGGAGAAGGATACAACACATCAGGTGGTGATTATGCTACGGAACGGCACCCAGGGCTCCGCGTACGTCGATGGTCAGCGTGTGGGTGGGGATGTGCCGTGTGCATTGGGAAATAAGGATTCAAAAGAGATCTCCCACTTCTACATTGGAGGGGATGGAGAAAAGGCAGCCAACAAAGAAGGCGTGTCTGTGACTGTGACGAACGTCCTGCTGTACAACCGCCCGTTGGATGGCAATGAGATTAATGCGCTTAACCCGAATAAAGCTTCTACTCCAATTCTAGAAGAACAGCAAACGGCGGTGTTGGATGCCCGTTTAACACCAGCAAGCGGATCAGTTGCGCAGCAAACCGTGTCCTTGCCTACTCCTGCCGGACCACTGCGGGCGGAACAAGAATCGTCGATGATGAGCAGTGGTGTGGGCGGTGTCGGCGTATCCAATTCAGGAGAGACCACTGTGACGAATCCCCTACCTGGGTTGGACAGCGTGCAGCAGTTGGCGTCAGTAAAATCTTCCGATGGAACTCAAAGTGTGAATGCCGCTTCCTCATCTGTTGGTGACAAAAGAGTGGGAAGAGGAGCTGGAGATGAAACGCAGAACGATGAAACACACCAACCTTCTATGGGTACTCCCGCCACAGCAGATGCAAACGCTCCTACCGCTAAGGGCGTTGGGCACGATGGACCCGCAGTGGATCAAGAGATGAACGCGAGCATCCGTGAGGATGAGGAGGCCGCAGGAGGAATTAATGGGCAGGAGGATAACCATGCACAGCACGGCGAAGTAAATGCTGCGGCACTCAGCAGCAGCCTCGGAAATGTGTCGCAGGGGAATAACAGCTATGCCGGCACTGTGCGTGGGAGCGGACTGCTGCCGCTGCTCCTTCTGTTGGGGTTGTGGGTGTTTGCGGCTCTGTGAGGAGCGACTGGTTGCCGCGTGGGACACTTGCGCCCTCCCCTGCACCGACACACACGGTAATTAATTTATTTTCTTTAATAACTTTTTTTTTTTTACCTTTTCCCTGTTTGCTTTGATGTGCGTTTTATAACCCCATTTACTTTTTTTTTTGCTTTTGGGGGCAATCACTATGGACGTTTTTCTTTTCTACTCTTCCCCCTTTAATTGTTTGTTGCTGCACTCTTCCTGTGAGGGGTGCCGTGTGTTTCCGCCCAACTGCTCCACTCGCACACCCACCGACACGCTCATGACGACGGCCCTGTGCGCCTCGCCTGCTGCACGCATGAGGAGGGGCCGCGACGAACGGCGCGCTGAGGGAGCCGTGACGTGTGGGCGTGCGACGAGGGCCCGTGGGGCGGAGCACACATTTCTTCCCTCTTGTTTTGTTTTCTTTGCGGCCAGGGCGGGCAGACACCCGCAGCGCCACACACACAGCCACACCCTGCCGCCGTGTTTTTCTTTAAGAATTTGTTTTGCTTTGCGTGTTTATTTCATGCGGTGGCGCACCCTTCGGTGTCGGCCTCGTGAGCATTTCTCTCCCCTCCGATGATTTCTTTTTCTTTTGCTGCGCTCACTCTCCCGATGGAGTGACGCGACTGCCGTCATGTCTGCGTGCTTCTCTCAGTCCCCACACACACGAGTGACTGTGCTCTGCGGGCCGCACTCACGCGCCGATGAGAGGGCTGAGGGGAGCAGCAACACGCAGATGACCCCGTGAAATATAAACGATGTGCGGACACACGGAGGGTCGGACGGTCGAAGCACACGCAACCATCTTTTTAATTTTCTTTTGCGGGCAAAATACATACAGACAGTTTGGTGTGGCCACACGGCAGCCAGGCAATCTTCTTTTTATTATTTTAAATTTGTGTGGAGCAGTAATGGACGATTTCTTTTCATTTATAATTATTTTGTGTGATGGGGTTTACGTAAGACGAAGGGGGGACGTTTTTTTGTTTTCAATAAATATTGTGTGAATTGCCGCTGCTTGGGCTGCAGTGCAGTCATGAGTTTGAGCGGTCTTCTTCTTCTTGTTGTTTCCGTTATGCGTCTCCGCTGTACATTTTTGTGCGTCTCTCCGCATACTCTGCTCCCTCTTTTCTACTTCTTTGCTTTGTGTTACTGCAGGCACACACAACCACACACACACAAGATGTACATTGCGGTGGATATGAATGCACCTTTTGCAATGCATGCTGGCAGTTGCGTGTGGCGGCTGTTGTCTTCTTCCGTGGCCATGAGGAGGAGAGGGAGAGGGAGCGCACCCCGAGTCTATTTTCCTGCGGGTGTGATGCACCGCGTGTGACTGCGCTGAGTTGGGCTCCGTGTCCCATTGATGGCGGGATGGCAGGAAATTTTTTTGCCGTGTGATGGATGGATGAGGGTTCGCTTGCTCCGTGTGCGTTGTGTGGTGGCCGCGGGTTTTGCCATTTCCCTGGGGCTGCGGGAATGAGCTGGGGGAGATGGTGGTGGATGTCTTCTCCTCCTGCATGGTGGGTGGCTGCTGGCGTTGTGTGCCTTCCTTGCGTGGATGCCGTCTCGTGGTGTGTGAACTGTGCGGCTGGGCCTGCTTCCCTCTCCTCATGTTGTCTGCTCTCTCGCTGTATCCGCTGTGCTCCGTCCCTCTCCCTCTCGTTCCATTCCATTCCTTCCGTCTCACCGATCAGCTGACTGACACCGGCGACTCCACTACGGGCGATGATGACTGCGATGGTGACGGTGCGGCGCCGTGTTGTCCCTTGCGCTCTTGTGCTGCGGCTGCTCGTCCGTGTGCGTGACGGCGGCAGGAGACGATAATAACGGTAACAGCCGTCCTCCCAGCCCTGAGCTAGGGAAACCGGATCCTACAAAAACATGCCTGGTGCATTACAGCCAGATGGTGGGGAGACCGGTGGGCCACAGACAGAGAGTGGGAGAGACAGCGAGGAGGGTTTGAGAAGTCCAGGACCTTCGTTGCCAAAGGAAGCAGGCACAGCCATCACTGGACAGACACGAGTTCCGCCAGAGTCACTGAGTTCGGCTAGCGATAATCCAGAGCCACGAGGTTTGGCAACTCAGTCTCCACACATACACAAGGTGCGACCGGTATGTCAGATGCACAAAATAAAGGGCGCAGTAAAATACACAAGGCGATGAGAATCATAAGGCACCGACATTAAATCGGAAGATCAAAATGCCAAGTATTACCACCAATAAGACCACAACAACGCTCTGGCTCAGCCGGCCACCTCAACGTGGTGCCAGGGTGCAGTACTCTTTGCTAGAGAGGAAGCTAAGCGCCTCCTGCCCATCCGCCGCCCGCGGAGAGGTGACAGACGCCGAACAAACGGGTCGGAAGGGCACCAGATGGAGCCATTTGTAATGGTTGTCCGCGGAGCGGTATTTCCATCCGCTGCTGAATTCCATCAGCGCTTATCAGCGCTATACATACCGTTTGCGTGCCGTATGTGACGCGCAACGACAAAAGCTACTGCTACGCGGAGACGTTGAGCAGCACCCAGGCCCCATAGCAGTACTCCAGATGAACGTTTCTTGCCTCACGCCGTCAAAACTCGCAACATTAATGGCGCAAGGAGCAGACATAATAGCCATCCAGAGGACTTGGAAGTCGTCGGAGCAGATCGCCAGCATGCACACTGGAGATTATGTGCTCTATGCACAGTCGCGCATCGGCAAGGGAGGCGGTGTGGCGGTGCTTGTGCGGAAAACTCTCCGCTCCAAGCGTATACCCCTCACCATCCCCCAGCATGACACCAGCCTTGAAGTGGTGGTGGTCCAGGTTGCTCTGGACCAGAACCGTGATCTTATTGTTGCGAGTGCCTATATGAGACCACCACCGCAAGTAACGCAATCCTTCAGGCGGTTAGTAAACTGCCTTCCAGCCTCGTCGCCGCTCCTGCTGTGCGGGGATTTCAACATGCATCACCCACAGTGGGAGCCATTCTTGGAGACTTCTCCAAGCGAGGTTGCTGCAGAATTTTTAGAACTGTGCACGGATGCGGGACTCACCTTGGTTAACACCCCTGGTGAGATCACGTATGCCCGTGGCACAAGAGAACGATCCTGTATCGATCTGACATGGTCAAAGCATTTGACTGTGTCGGATTGGTCAGCTTCCGTGTCGCCGCTTAGTGATCATTATATGCTGACATTCACGCTGCATCAGGCATTTAAGGATACCATACCTTCGGCACCTAGGATATTCCACAGTTGGGGGAAGTGCAAGTGGGATTTATTCGTCAAGGACCTCGACGCACAACTTCCGGCATATGACTATAGAAAGCAGTCCACCGGCATTAAGGCTTTCACGAGAGCGCTTATAACTTCGTATCGACGACACTGCCCCGCGGCATGCACAAGGACGGTCCCAGGCTTTGGGACGACACTCTCATGGAGGCAGAGCGGATTGCTACCGACAGCAAGGCCCGCTATCTACAGTCACCGACGCCCGACCGTGAGGCAGAAATGCAACGGACAAGGAGTCAATTCTTCCTCCTACTCCGAGAGCGCTTGCGCAACACGTATCCACGTCGCATCAGCAAGTTAAATCCAGGCGAGCCACTCGCACGGAAATACATTTCCGGACGAAAAAAGGCATCACTTCCATCTCCCACATCAATTTTATTAGGAGGTGGTCAACACACTTATAAAACAGCAAGGAGAGCAGCGAATGCTCTCAATCGCATCTTTTTTCCATTTCACCCCTCTCACAAGGCAGTAAGGCCTTCCAAAGGCATCAACAGACAGAGTGCATCTTTGAACATTAATGCTTCTTCTCTTTTTGGACCACGGAACAACAACGAGTCTGCCGCTACATTTACATCAGGGGTTTTCTCACTGCCCTCTTGATGCACCTTTTAATCGTACGGAACTGCTTGCTGCGCTACGTAACACGCCGTATGGCAAGGCCCCGGACCGGATGAAGTCTACAGTGAGGCACTGCGACATATTTCGTCAAAGGGTCTCCGATTCCTTCTTCGCTGCATTAACCACAGCTGGACGACCGGTACGATTCCGGCTGAGTGGAGACGCGCCACCATCGTTCCACTCTTAAAACCCGGTAACTCGCCGGAACTGCTTGAGTCATATCGACCCATCAGCCTTACTTCCATTGTGAGTAAGGTTGCTGAGAAAATGGTACTGAAGAGATTGCTTTGGGTGTGGACGCCGCACCCCCACCAGTATGCATATCGTAGTGTGCGTACTACGACGATGCAACTGGCACACCTGACACACGAAGTGGAGCATAATAGAAATCATTATTTCCAAGTGAGCCTTCCCAAGAAGAGCGGTATTGGCAATCAACTCCACTACAGACCCCATCGGACTCTGCTGGTGTTGGTTGATTTCAGCAAGGCCTTTGACTCCATAGATCATCGAGTCCTCAGTCGCTTGCTGGCTAATATTCCGGGGGTGAATTGTAGAAGGTGGCTTAGAAACTTTCTATGTGGTCGCCACGCGAAGACACGAGTTGGCCACAGACACAGCGATCGGCGTCCCATGCTGCGAGGAGTTCCTCAGGGATCCGTGCTGGGGCCGTATTTGTTCTCCCTTTACGCACACCCACTTCTCAGTCTGCTGAACAGCTTTGCGGGTGTCACAGCAGACATGTATGCGGACGACCTCTCTATTATCGTTAGGGGGCAGTCCCGGGAATACGCCATTCCCACTGCCAACATGGTTCCCAAAAGACTGCATGCGTGGAGTCAGGAAAATGGCCTGGCCATCAACCCGTCAAAGCGTGAAGCTGCTTGGTTCACACTCTCCACGCACACGGAGTCAGATTATGATCGTGAAGGAAGGTGGCCGCTGGTAGTGGCTGGATGTCAAATCCCAGTCATGACCATGGGGGCATCGCGAACTACGAAGCTTCTCGGCATGGATCTCGATCCGCGACTGACGCTAAATGTGGCGGCCTCCAAGCAATGCGCTGCCACTTCGCAACGGATATCGCAGCTACGCTGCATAGCGCACAAAGAGGCGGGACCATCTCCACATGACCTACGCACGTTCGTCATTGGATACAGTGCTTCCAAATTACGCTATGGCAGCGAGCTCATATGGGCAGTAGCGACGGATTCAGCGAGGAATGAGATGCAGAAGACGTACGCAACCCTGGCGCGCATTGTCAGCGGAGTTCCGAGCACTGTCGACCCGGAATCCGCACTGCTGGAGGCTAATATGCCGCCGCTCCACGTCCTTTGCCTGCGCGCACGGCTCTCCATATTTGAGAACACACGCGCATGTCAGATGGACTGGATGCGGAGACCCCCGCCTGAGCCACCGCCTCGCGCTGGTTTCCGCATCTCGCCATTATCTCGGGACGAGCTATATGCCTTTGTAGACGCATACACAAAGGACTATGGCATCACCGAGAGCTCACCACGCGAAGAGCGGTTCTTTCGCAGCTCCATTCCTCCCTGGTTTGCGGCCCCCGCTCACCGGGTCACCATCGGTGTGGAACTTCCGATAGACCTCTCAATAACTGACGAAGAGGAGCTGATACGGGAAAAGCGCAGAGTCAGCGAAGAGGCTCCAGCGCTGCACAGCCATCGTTCGTGGATACTTGCGACCGATGGCGGTGTCCACGTTCCCAAGTCAGCGGGGGTTGGAATACTGCTTTCATCCCTCAATTCATCGGAGATAATAGAAAAGGCCAGTATAAACTGCGGTACACGCCCATGCAGCTACAGGACGGAATCCCGTGCGCTGCTTCTAGCCCTAGAGAAGCTGATTATCCCTCGTATCCGACACAGGCGTAAAACCCTGCTTGTGGTTACGGACAGTCAGTCTCTTCTAGCGGCTCTAAACAAGGGCCCGCTCAGTCAGACAGACTGGACGGAGGATCGGATCTGGCAGCGTCTCTTAACACTGACGCGTGCTGGCTGGTCCGTGCGCCTGCAGTTTTGTTACGGAAATTGTGGAGTACATGCTAACGAGCTTGCAGATCAGCATGCGACGCAGACTATGGCAACCGGACAATACACGGAGCATGGAATCGCACCTTTATGGCATACGGATCTGCCGACATGTTTTACTACCCAGCTCACCAACAAGTGGCGTAGTACCATTTGTCAAGACACTCATCGCTACTTGCTTTGCGGCACAAGGCCATCCGATCTCAGCGGTAAGGACCTGATCACTCAGGAAGTTCTTCACCGTCAGGAACTGGTTCACCTCGCAAGGGCAAGGTGCGGGGAATCTGAGCTCTGGGGCCGACTATACTGGGCCGTGAGGGATTGCACGAACCAATGCCGTTTCTGCAACATCTCACCGGAACAGTCTGCATACATGCGCTCTAACAACGATCCAACCGCACCGGGGACGGACACTGTTCCCCCGTCGGCAAGGGGCGAAGACGTCTCTCCAGTAAGGGGACGGACCCTCACACGCCGTCGGAAGGAGAAATGTCCGCACTGTGATTCTACATTGACGGGATTCTCGGGTCTCGTCAGTCACTGTCGGTCATTTCATCCGGAACATCCCCCACCGCTTCCCGAGCTCAAATATGATTTCTGTGACATGGTTTTCCCCACACGGAGAAGCACCGCACAGCACAGAATTCGCTGCGCACACAACCCAGACGCCACACGGCATCGGAACAGCAGTGCCAGGAGGCGATCTCTGCTGCCGCAGGATCAGCCAGCTTCCACAAGCACGCCAATCGGCCCGCAGGAAACCTTGCACCATCTGCTTCTAGGACGTCCAGGCACCTTGGCTGTGCGCCAACGGCTGGGCATTGAACAGGACCTTCGCCTCGGAAAGTTCTCTCAATGGCAGCTGCTTCATAGCAGGAAACTCATTTTGCTGCTCGACCACCTCTTAGGTACTCCGATGGCATTGTATAGCTAGACGCGCTGGTAAGAGTAGGAAAAAAAATATAATGACATCATGACGTCCAATACCACCGATGTGTACGGGCGATGGGACTGCATCCATGGTCCTCGAGCACACGCCCCCGCCACTAAGGAGCGCACAAACAGCGGTGCGTGCAGCAGCGCCACACAGATCACATCTTCTTTTAAACAAAAAGATCTAAGCGAGCAGAGGAGTCTGGTTCGAAGGTGACATGTCCTTGCCGACGGTGAGCAGTGGCGAACGTATCACCTCGTGTGTGGAAACACCACTGCTGCTTCTGCTTTTGGGACTGAGTGTGGTTGTGGCAGTGTTCTGAGCCACGGAGTGTGGCGTTGCGAGTTCTCACGGAAAATATGTGCCGCGTTCCCTGCGGGCTTTCTTTTTTTGATGTTTTTTTAAATGTTGTCTACATGGAACAATGGGAGTACCTTTTTCTTTTGTTTTACTTAATGGTCAGTTGCTGCGCACCGTCATGAGCGAATTGTTTTCCCTCTTGATTGCTTCTGTTGCCTACACGCGGTACAGGCCCCACGGCTGTGCGCTCCACGGAGGACACAAAAGGAGGAGTGGAGAGACAGGCTGGATGCCGCATGAAATGTGTGGGATGTTGTGTTGGCTTGTGGAACAGTAATATTTTTTTCCTTGTGCAGGTACTGTACGCATGTACATATAAACACAGTCCTGCCTTGCTGCATGGCGTATGAAACGATGATTCTGCTGAAGTGTATTTTTTTTTTTGAGGAGGAGACTCCTGTTGGGCACTCAACTACTCTTTTTGTTTTGGTATTGCTTTTTTACTTCTGGTGTGCAGGTCAGTGTGCGTTCTTCTGCAGGGCTGCTGCCGTTGTTTACTGTGCGTGTTACTTTGTGACTTGTCTCTCTCCTTTTGCTTTCACTTTGCGTTGACGTGTTGTTAGTTTGTGCTGAAGGCTGCACGCAAGTGACAGGAGTGATGGCGATGATGACTGGCCGTGTGCTGCTGGTGTGTGCCCTCTGCGTGCTGTGGTGCGTTGCCGGCGGTGGTGGATGTTCTGAAACAACTCAAGAACCTTCGGGTGGTGCGTCTCAAGGTGGCAAGAATACTGACGGTACAAAAAACACCGCTAATGGCGCTGGAGGAGGTGTCAAATCCAGTGCGACGGCAAAGTCACAATTATCGGCAGAATCGGTGACAGAATTAAAGGTAGAGGCAGCGGGAGCAGACACATCAGCGACACAACAACACGAGAAACAAGCATCAGAAACGGAAGAAGAAAAGATGAAAAAAAAGAATGAAAGAACGGATGAGAAAGAAAAGAAAGAATATGACGAGGAGGATGATGATCAAGAAGAGGAAGAGGAACATGAAGATGAAGAAATAGATGAAGGTGAAGGTGATGAGAAGAAAGAAGAGAGTGAGATGAAAGAAGAAAAAAAAGATGAGAAGGAGGAAGAGAAAATCAAAGAAGATGATGCCGACGCCAGAAAGGGGATGTCAGCAGGCGGTGAAGAGCCGCCAATTATATCTTCTGCTGCGGAGGAAGCAGCGAACCAAACAAATCTCAAAAGCACGCAAACGACTGGAGACGGAGATTCAACAGCCGATGTTGCAAAGACAAGAGAAGAAAAACAAAATGAAAATAAAGATGCCAATCCGAAGGAAACACCGATAAAAACAACAGCTATTGCGAACGGTACGGCTCCAACTGGCGACAGTGACGGCAGCACCGCGGTCTCCCACACCACCTCCCCTCTTTTGCTTCTTCTTGTTGTTGCGTGTGCTGCTGCGGTGGTGGTCGCGTGAGAGTGAGTGTGAGAGAGCCATGCACCGCCCGCACACACACTCTTCCTTCTCTCTCTGTGTGTGTGTCCCCTTGCATGGACTCTCGCCCTCACCTCACCCCACGAGGCACACACATAATGTGCCCATTGTATATATGCATGCACACCCATGCAGGCCCGTTGGTGCTCTCTTTTACACGACACGCACCGCTGCCGTCCTGCCTGGCTGCATGGGCGGAGCACCGTAACTGTTTCTGTTTTGTTTTGTTTTTTGTTCTCTTATGATTGTTTTAAGTGTTTTTAGTTTTTCTTTGCTGTTTGCTTTTAAATATTTTAAATGTTTTTTGTGTTTGTTTTTACTTTTTATTTTTCTTTTCTCTCATTTCCTTTTTTTTTTGCTTTTGGGGCAATCACTATGGACGTGTTTTCTTTTCTACTCTTCCCTCTTTAATTATTTGTTGCTGCACTCTTCCTGCGAGGGGTGCCGTGTGTTTCCCGCCCAACTGCTCCACTCGCACACCCACCGACACGCTCACGACGACGGCCCTGTGCGCCTCGCCTGCTGCACGCATGAGGAGGGGCCGCGACGAACGGCGCGCTGAGGGAGCCGTGACGTGTGGGCGTGCGACGAGGGCCTGTGGGGCGGAGCACACATTTCTTCCCTCTTGTTTTGTTTTCTTTGCGGCCAGGGCGGGCAGACACCCGCAGCGCCACACACACAGCCACACCCTGCCGCCGTGTTTTTCTTTAAGGATTGTTTTGTTTTTTTGTGGATGTGAGTGCTGCCACTGTGCGTGATTGTTGATGTCGGGGCCGTGCCGCATTTGTCGCTGCTCTCCAGTTGTGCCTGTTGCTGTGTTGATGTGCCTCCCTGTTCTCCTCTTCTCTTCTGCTCCTCCAGCACACACACACATACTTAGTTGCACGGTGCTGTGCAGGAATGTCTTGGTGACGGTGGGACGTTGGCCTGCATCCCGTGCTGGCATAGTATGGTCGCTGCGTGTCTACCGTTGGCGGTGGGAATCACGGTGTCATTGGATGGATGCGTGTGGTACGTTTGTTGCATTGTGCTGGAGGCCGGCTGACGTGGCTGCACGATGCCCGCCATGTGTGAAGTTGTTGCCTGCTCTTGGGACCATTCTTCTTTCTCCTGTGTGTTTTCTTTCCCGGGTGCGTGCGTTGCTCGGTGTGTGCTGACGCGTGACGGACGGTGTCACGATGGCCTTCTGTGGAGATGACGGTCGCTGTACTCTCGGCACACATCCACAGACTCTTTATTGTCTCTCTGTGCGAGCGATTGCAGCAGGGCATTGCTGCGGGCGTGATGGGGACCACGACGGCGTCACCCCTCGAGGAGGTCCCATGCACTGTCGGTTGTGGAGCGGCGAGGCGGTTTGCCTGCAGACCGACTGACAACCGCACAGTCGTTTCATTGCGGTCACTCCATCGGCATCACCCGCTGCGGTGGTGTCCTCAAGAGCCGCACCTCAGAACTTTAGGCCGTTCTCCCCTCAGGATTGCCCTTGCTGCTTGACTGGCGCAGCACCGGCGCGAAATGGCTCTTCTGCAGGGGGGCAGGCACCAGAGTGCCAGCGACGAGGCTCATTGTCTGCATTGACTTCCACCAGGCCTGCAGTGGGTGTGCCGGTGGCGTGGCCTTCGTTGTGCGCCACACCTTTCCGTGCGAGCGCTTGTCGCTGCTGGCACCAACTGCCTGGAGACCACCGCCCTCCGCGTGTGCCCACCGGCCAGCCCCAGCATGTGCGTGGTGAACCTCTGCAGCCTTCCTACAGTAATTGCCCACGTTTCACACTTTGCGAGCGACATTCGTCGCCTTGGTCCTGCAGCACCTATTGTGGACGACCTGAATTCACACCATGAGCTCCGGGACGGTCGCTCACCATCCACGACGTCAGGAGAGGGCCTCGCCACCACCTCAAGCGGCATGGAGTGTGAGCTTTCTGACGACCCGGCACAGGCAACGCAGATCAGCGGCCGCAGCGTCTCGTTTCCCAATGTGAATGCGCAACGCGTGCTGCATGTCTCCCACTGGACGTCCACCCGTTTACATGGACTCGGACCACCATCTGCCATCCCACACTGCAGGAACGGAGGACGGCATCCCGCGACAGACAGGCATGCTGCCACAACGGAAACATGTCGCCCTTGTCCTGCGTGATGCCGACTGTGATGCTTCCATCTAGGCGTGTGGAACACCTCTGGCCACTGTGACCACATGGTTGGAGATGCGCAAATATACCATACCGCGCGGCAGTCGTGACAGCCCACAAAAATCACGACGGACGGAATGTAGCAGGCCGAGTCTGTTGCGGCGACAGCATGCAACGAGCGTACTTTCTTACCGGGAGGCAGCCTGCCCCGTGCTGAAGTGCTCCGCAAATGGGAGGACCGCAATCATACCCTTCGCCGTGTTTTCTCCATTCTGCCAGAGGCCCGTGCGAAACGGCCTGGTGCCCTCTCGAGCCCAAGCCTGTGGTGCTCCGAAGCATGGCGGCACTATGTCCCCGCTCCTTTTAATCGGCTGTGCTGCGGCACTCTCGGGACCGCGTCTGTGCTCTGCCTCTGCAGCAGGCAACCCGCTCGTCCGTCACACTGTCCGCGTCGCACTTGCTGCGATCCCCACTGTTGTCCGCACACCTTGTGCTTGCGTGCCCTCTGGTGACTGGAATATGAATTGGCCCTTCACGCCGTGTGTGCCTGACTTGGCCATCCGCGACTGTTTGCCTGGCATGGCCCCTGGACCCGTCGGCGTATTGAATGTGTTTCTGCGCCATCTTGCACCGCTGCTTGCACAGAACGATTATCAACACCCCCCTCGCCGACGGCAGCCTGCGAGGTTCCTGGGAAAAGAGGAACAACACTCCCATCCACAGACACGGGAAGGACACATGCCGCACAGGGAGAGTTGCCGGCCCATCCCGCTGCTCTCTGCCCTGCTAGGGGTGAGCGAAGGACTGGTCCACCGCCGCCGACACCGCTCTCTCGCCGTCCGGATCGGCATCTCGATTGCGTTCGACACCGTTGACGATGGGCAAGTGCTGGCCGTGCTCGACGGGCTACCGCGCCTGGGCCGTCGTTCCCAACGCTGGTAGCGCGATCACCTGCGAGGTGGCTGCGTTTCGGTGTGTGCTCGCCAACAATGTCCCTGACAGCGGCTCGCCTCAGCCGTGGCAGCCCAATGCAGCTTCCTTGGGCCGCAGCTCCTACTCCACCGCGTGGATGGTCTGTTGGGCCGCCTGTACAGCGTTCACTTTGCGTCGGCGTTCATTCACGCTGACGGCCGCACGCTTGTTGCCTTGTATGTGGACATCCGTGTCCGTGCTGCGGCAATGCCAACTGTCTTTTCCCTCGTGGCCACATGGGCTGCCGAGCACAGCCCGAAGATCAACGCGGACAGGAGCGGGGCCGCTCTGTTCTGCATCGCCTCACACCGACAGTCTGACGAGGACACGGCCGACCATCGTCTGGGCGATGGGAACCTACGCGTGAAGTCCCACCCGGTGCGTCTGCTCGGCAATGCGATTGATCGACACCTCAATTTTGGTGTGCACGTCACCGTTGCTGCAGGGTAGACCGTGCCACGCCTCCATCAACTGCGGCTGGATGCAGAGGCTGGGACATCCCAGCACACCACGCGATACTTTCTGGTTGGGTGCGTCCACAGTGCGTTGCACGACGGCGACGAGGCAATCGCACCGTGTCCGGCTCCCATTCACCTCCACGGCCTGGAAGTGCGGCACCGCGACAGCTGCACTGCATCGCTCGGCCCACGCGCATCAAAGAAGGACACTTTTGTCCACCTGGCAGCCAATCCAGCACCGCTGCGGAGGAACATTGGGTTCCGCGCACCCACACAACACGAACGCCTCACACTTCTCCGATTTATTGAGGACGTGCATGGCGCAATCTGATTGGAGGCCATTCCGCCGTCCATGCATGAAAAGCGGCGACATCGATCCCGCTTCCGAGAGATGCTGTTGTTAATGGATTGCGACGGGTATGTAATATTATTGGGACACCCCACAGCCACAATCGTGCTCCTCCTATTCAACATCGTGATTTCCTCTGGGACACTGAGTTGCAATAAAGTGGAATTTATCAGCCACGCTTTGCCCAAGACGCCTCTGACGGCGTCAAGCGCACGGCTCTTGATTCTATTTACTCCTCTCTAGGAGCGTATGATTTTGAATTATGGACGGACGTTTCTTCATCTCTCGCTGAGCTCGCATCTGGATCCGCTGCACCATTGTATGGCTCCACCACGACAAATGATATCCCTGTGGAGGTCCATCGTGCAGCAGCTGGCAGGCTCGCATGCCCATATAGAGCAGAGTGCCTTGCCACTGAAAATGGCATTAGACATCTCATACCTTTTGTCTGGAAACATCCCAATCGCCCACACGAATGCTGGTGGCAACGGACTCCCTGTCGGCAACTGAGGCACTCCGCGCTGCCCCACTGGCCGTGCGAGGCTACGTCACTGAAGAGAGTTGGATTATGCTGCTCTCCTTGATACAGCGAGGTCACTCTGTAGACTTCAAGTTCTCTCCATCGTACTGCGGTATCCCACGCAATGAGGCTGCTGACGACGAGGCCATGATTGCACGATCCCTCCCGCAGGAGGACAGCCCAATCTGGCACGTGGACTTTTTCACTGCAGTCAGGTGACCGTACTGGAGGGATGCCCAGGAGAAAAGAAAGGGCGCGTACACCGCATGGCAGGCGCTTGTCGGTGTGGCAGGGACTCTATTCCTGGCACGACTTGGGCATCGTGCCCCGAGCGGCGCCTCTGCGCACAGGCACGGCGCGACCCCTGGCCACTCCTCGACAGTCCTGCGCGTGCCCTTCGTATCAAAAGTAACCCTCCGTGTTGGTGGTGCCGTCCCTCCCTCACTGAGGAGACCGGCCCGCCTCTGCCTCCGCAGTAACCTCTTCCCGACGTGAGCACCGCCACTCCTTGCCGACCAACAAGCGGCTGATGGACGTCCTCCTGCCCACTCCTCGGCTGACCGGCACGCGCCCTGCGGATCACAAGCAACCCATTATTTCGGTGGTGCTGCCCTTCCTCACACTGAAGAGGCAGGACCGCCTCGACCTCCTCCGGAACCTCCACCTGGCGTGTCCACAGCACCTCCTCGTAGAACGACGAGCAGCGGATCAACGTCGCCCCGCCCAAGCTGCAGCAGCGTCTTCTCGTCCGCCCATCATATGGAGGTACACGCCCGACGCACTATCCCTGGCACTCCAATCGGTGCAGAAGGCCTCAAATGTGGATTCTGCGACAGCTCCACGGTTTCCCCAACAAGCGCCTCACGTGCATGTCACTACCGAAAATGTCAAGCGCATCAACGAGCAAAAACGGACAACGCACCTCTGCAAGCTCCAATGACAGCCGTAGCCCTTCAGCCACTCCTCTGCTGCAACCCCCACCAGCCGCTGAGCCCCCGACAATCCACGGGAGGCCCCGCCGCACACGCTGTGGGAATGCCGCCGTCCTCGACAACTGAGCATCCGACTATTTGGGAGCACACCCTTTCGCACGACAGCACCATTCAAGACGGAAAAACTGGCCACATCGCTACGGACAGCCCGCAGGCCATTAACGAGCAGTGGCAGCAAAGTATAACAAAACAAATACTTCCCTTTTCTCAGCATAGAAAAACGTCACCTTCACACTCGCAATTGCCCCAATGAATTCATTGCGCAATACCGCTCCGAGCTGCAATACTTCCTGGTACCATCCAGGTCCCTTGTCGACACATCGATGCGGATGGGCGCCCATCCATCCCTCCCAATGACGGTGCATGTCTGCGACGCACCCTCAGATCCAAAAGGCGCGTCCCTCACCACAGCCGCGATCGACTTCGCCCTGTGGGCACGCATCGCCTTGTCAGAGGAGCAGGAGTACGTCAGGCTGGCAGCAAGGCACCCTCCGGCACAACACATCACAACCAGAAGCACCAGCAGCACCGCAGACCGTGGGGTGACGTGGATCAACTGAAACATGCTGTACGTAACAGAAAACATTTAATGACTTGACAAGAAAAAGAAACACTGACAATATCTCAAAGGGAAAAAAAAATGAAATAAAAAGAGAATTTAGGCGTCCGCAGTCAAAAAAAACACCAATTCAAAAACAAGAAGTAACGAGTGCACTCAACCACAACACAATGAAAAACAAAAAGCCGAAGCGTGGGACGACCAGCGCACACACTCTCATTGCTCCCGTAAAGCAAAACACACACACAGAGGGAGAGAGAGAGAGGTCGCCCACTCAATGCAATAAAAACAAAACAGAAACAGTTACGGTGCTCCGCCCATGCAGCCAGGCAGGACGGCAGCGGTGCGTGTCGTGCAAAAGAGAGCACCAACGGGCCTGCATGGGTGTGCATGCATATATACAATGGGCACATTATTGTGTGTGCGTCGTGGGGTGAGGTGAGGGCGAGAGTCCATGCAAGGGGACACACACAGAGAGAGAGAAGGAAGAGTGTGTGTGCGGGCGGTGCATGGCTCTCTCACACTCACTCTCACGCAGCCACCACCGCAGCCGCAGCCGCAGCCGCCCACGCAACAAGAAGAAGCAAAAGAGGGGAGGTGGTGTGGGAGACCGCGGTGCTGCCGTCACCGTCGCCAGTCGTCGCCGTTGCAGTGTTCATGGCTGTGGCTTCGACTGGTGTTTCCTTCGGATCGGCTTCTTTATTTTCATTTCGTTTTCCCTCTGCTGTCCCTGCACCATCAGCTGCTGGATCATCGTCTCCAGTTGTTGTTGTGCTGTTGGGATTTGTTTTATTCGATGCTCTTGCCGCACCCGAAGATAAACTTCGCGGCTCTTCACTGTCTGCTGACATCTCCTCTGCGGTGCCGGTAACAACTTTTTCTTTCTTTATCTCCTCCTTTTCTTTCTTATCATCCTTTCCGTCCTCCCTTCTATCATTCTCTTCCTCCTTCTCTTCCTTCTTTTTATCTTTTTTATTTTGATCGTTGTTGTCCTTCGTTGCACTTGTTGTTTCTGATGCTTCTCCTCCTGGTTCCGTTATCTGTAATGATTTCGCTGGCGCTGCCTGTAATTCTGACCCCGTTGGTGTGGGTGCTTGTAGCTCTTCCTGTTTACCGCTTTTGACACCTCCTTCAGCGTCAACGACGGTCGCATTATCGTTTTTAGTGCTCTTTTCGGGCGTAGTGCCCGAAGGAGCTGGACGAGGTGTTTCAGCTCGTCCACCACCGCCGGCACCGCACCACAGCACGCAGAGGGCACACACCAGCAGCACACGGCCAGTCATCATCGCCATCACTCCTGCCACTTGCGTGCAGCCTTCAGCACAAAATAACAACACGTCAACGCAGAGTGAAAGCAAAAGGCAAGACAGACAAGTCACACAGTAACACGCACAGTAAACAACGGCAGCAGCCCTGCAGAGGAACGCACACTGACCTGCACACCAGAAGTAAAAAAGCAATACCAAAACAAAAAGAGTAGTTGGGTGCCCAACGGGACTCTCCTCCTCAAAAAAAAAAAATACACTTCAGCAGAATCATCGTTTCATACGCCATGCAGCAATGCAGGACTGTGTTTATATGTACATGCGTACAGTGCCTGCACAAGGAAAAAAATATTACTGTTCCACAAGCCCACACAACATCCCACACATTTCATGCGGCATCCGGCCTGTCTCTCCACTCCTCCTTTTGTGTCCTCCGTGGAGCGCACAGCCGTGGGGCCTGTACCGCGTGTGGGCAACAGAAGCAATCAAGAGGGAAAACAATTCGCTCATGACGGTGCGCAGCAACTGACCATTAAGTAAAACAAAAGAAAAAGGTGCTCCCATTGTTCCATGTAAACAACATTTAAAAAAACATCAAAAAAAGAAAGCCCGCAGGGAACGCGGCACATATTTTCCGTGAGAACTCGCAACGCCACACTCCGTGGCTCAGAACACTGCCACAACCACACTCAGTCCCAAAAGCAGAAGCAGTGGTGTGTCCACACACGAGGTGATACGTTCGCCACTGCTCACCGTCGGCAAGGACATGTCACCCTCGAACTAGACGTCTCCACTCTCCTTAATTTTTTTGTTTAAAGAAGATGTGGTCTGTGTGTCTCTGCTGCACGCACCGCTGTTTGTGGGCTCCTTAGTGGCGGGGGCGTGTGCTCAAGGACCATGGATGCAGTCCCATCGCCCGTACACATCGGTGGTATTGGACGTCATGATGTCATTATATTTTTTTCCTACTCTTACCAGCGCGTCTAGCTATACAATGCCATCTGAGTGCCGAAGAGGTGGTCGAGCAGCAAAATGAGTTTCCTGCTATGAAGCAACTGCCATTGAGAGAACTTTCCGAGGCGAAGGTCCTGTTCAATGCCCAGCCGTCGGCGCACAGCCAAGGCGCTTGGACATTCTAGAAGCAGATGGTGCAAGGTTTCCTGCGGGCCAATTGGCGTGCTTGTGGAAGCTGGCTGATCCTGCGGCAGCAGAGATCGCCGCCTGGCACTGCTGTTCCGATGCCGTGTGGCGTCTGGGTTGTGTGCGCAGCGACTTCTGTGCTGTGCGGTGCTTCTCCGTGTGGAGAAAACCATGTCACAGAAATCACATTTGAGCTCGGGAAGCGGTGGAGGATGTTCCGGATGAAATAACCGACAGTGACTGACGAGACCCGAGAATCCCGTCAATGTAGAATCACAGTGCGGACATTTCTCCTTCCGACGGCGTGTGACGGTCCGTCCCCTTACTGGAGAGACGTCTTCGCCCCTTGCCGACGGGGGAACAGTGTCCGTCCCCGGTGCGGTTGGATCGTTGTTAGAGCGCATATATGCAGACTGTTCCGGTGAGATGTTGCAGAAACGGCATTGGTTCGTGCAATCTCTCACGGCCCAGTATAGTCGGCCCCAGAGCTCATATTCCCCGCACCTTGCCCTTGCGAGGTGAACCAGTTCCTGACGGTGGAGAACTTCCTGAGTGATCAGGTCCTTACCGCTGAGATCGGATGGCCTTGTGCCGCAAAGCAAGTAGCGATGAGTGTCTTGACAAATGGTACTACGCCACTTGTTGGTGAGCTGGGTAGTAAAACATGTCGGCAGATCCGTATGCCATAAAGGTGCGATTCCATGCTCCGTGTATTGTCCGGTTGCCATAGTCTGCGTCGCATGCTGATCTGCAAGCTCGTTAGCATGTACTCCACAATTTCCGTAACAAAACTGCAGGTGCACGGACCAGCCAGCACACGTCAGTGTCAGGAGACGCTGCCAGATCCGATCCTCCGTCCAGTCTGTCTGACTGAGCGGGCCCTTGTTTAGAGCTGCTAGAAGAGACTGACTGTCCGTAACCACAAGCAGGGTTTTATGCCTGTGGCGGATACGGGGGATCATCAGCTTCTCTAGGGCTAGAAGCAGCGCACGGGATTCCGTCCTGTAGCTGCATGGGCGTGCACCGCAGTTTATGCTGGCCTTTCCTATTATCTCCGATGAGTTGAGGGATGAAAGCAGTATCCCAACCCCTGCTGACTTGGGAACGTCGACACCGCCATCGGTCGCAAGTATCCACGAACGATGGCTGTGCAGCGCTAGAGCCTCTTCGCTGACCCTGCGCTTTTCCCTTATCAGCTCTTCCTCGTCAGTTATTGAGTGGTCTATCGGAAGTTCCACACCGATGGTGACCCGGTGAGCGGAGGCCGCAAACCAGGGAGGAATGGAGCTGCGAAAGAACCGCTCTTCGCGTGGTGAGCTCTCGGTGATGCCATAGTCCTTTGTGTGTGCGTCTACGAAGGCATATAGCTCGTCCCGAGATAATGGCGAGATGCGGAAACCGGCGCGAGGCGGTGGCTCAGGCGGGGGTCTCCGCATCCAGTCCATCTGACATGCGCGTGTGTTCTCAAATATGGAGAGCCGTGCGCGCAGGCAAAGGATCGTGGAGCGGCGGCATATTAGCCTCCAGCAGTGCGGATTCCGGGTCGACAGTGCTCGGAACTCCGCTGACAATGCGTGCCAGAGTTGCGTACGTCTTCTGCATCTCATTCTTCGCTGAATCCGTCGCTACTGCCCATATGAGCTCGCTGCCATAGCGTAATTTGGAAGCACCGTATCCAATGACGAACGTGCGTAGGTCATGTGGAGATGGTCCCGCCTCTTTGTGCGCTATGCAGCGTAGCTGCGATATCCGTTGCGAAGTGGCAGCGCATTGCTTGGTGGCCGCCACATTTAGCGTCAGTCGCGGATCGAGATCCATGCCGAGAAACTTCGTAGTTCGCGATGCCCCCATGGTCATGACTGGGATTTGACATCCAGCCACTACCAGGGGCCACCTTCCTTCACGATCATAATCTGACTCCGTGTGCGTGGAGAGTGTGAACCAAGCAGCTTCACGCTTTGACGGGTTAATGGCCAGGCCATTTTCCTGAATCCACGCATGCAGCTTTTCAAGAACCATGTTGGCAGTGGGAATGGCGTCTTCCCGGGACTGCCCCCTAACGATAATAGAGAGGTCGTCCGCATACATGTCTGCTGTGACACCCGCAAAGCTGTTCAGCAGACTGAGAAGTGGGTGTACGTAAAGGGAGAACAAATACGGTCCCAGTACGGACCCCTGAGGAACTCCTCGCAGCATGGGACGCCGATCGCTGTGTCTGTGGCCAACTCGTGTCTTCGCGTGGCGACCACATAGAAAGTTTCTAAGCCACCCTCTACAATACGCCCCCGGAATATTAGCCAGCAAGCGACTGAGGACTCGATGGTCTATGGAGTCAAAGGCCCTGCTGAAGTCAACCAACACCAGCAGAGTCCGATGGGGTCTGTAGTGGAGTTGATTGCCAATACCGCTCTTCTTGGGAAGGTTCACTTGAAAATAGTGATTTCTATTGTGCTCCACTTCGTGTATCAGGTGTGCCAGCTGCATCGTCGTAGTACGCACACTACGATATGCATACTGGTGGGGGTGCGGCGTCCACACCCAAAGCAATCTCTTCAGTACCATTTTCTCAGCAACCTTACTCACAATGGAAGTAAGGCTGATGGGTCGATATGACTCAAGCAGTTCCGGCGACTTGCCGAGTTTTAAGAGTGGGACGATGGTAGCGCGTCTCCACTCAGCCGGGATCGTACCGGTCGTCCAGCTGTGGCTAATGCAGCGAAGAAGGAATCGGAGGCCCTTTGACGAAATATGTCGCAGTGCCTCACTGTAGACTTCATCCGGTCCGGGGCCTTGCCATACGGCGTATTACGTAGCGCAGCAAGCAGTTCCGTACGATTAAAAGGTGCATCAATAGGGCAGTGACAAAACCCCTGATGTAAATGTAGAGATCAACTCGTTGCTGCTCTGTGGCCCAAAAATAGAAGAAGAAGCATTAATGTTCAAGGATGCACTCTGTCTGTTGATGCCTTTGGAAGGCCTTACTGCCTTGTGAGAGGGGTGAAATGGAAAAAAGATGCGATTGAGAGCATTCGCTGCTCTCCTTGCTG